TATCTGTGTGATTTATATGCATGTTCTGCATATCTCCATGTGAAACTCTCTTGAAGATCTGCAGGGCATGCAAAATTACATGCAGCACCAGCCTATGCACGTTTACTCGAAAATAAGTCCACTGAGCCTTACATTTCTGGTAGGTTTGCTTATTAAGGAGGACGAAGAATGCCAGATTGTAAGGGACTATCAAGTCTATTGTTAAAAATGTTGTATTGTATCCTAAGTCGGTAGAATCCTGTTCCAGATTTCTTTTTGTAATGATTGTTTTTTCTTTTTAATTGCAAAATATATTAGACATATATTGAATATCACAGTGGGTATATTTTATGGTGCTTTGAGCTGTGTAACACTTCTTCGTTGTACTGTTGTATGAGTTATGTTGGCCTTTGCTAAAGCAACAACAACGAAAGTTTGGATTTGGTAGGTATCTTTCACATCAAAGCCTGAACGAATCAAGAGAAATGAATCAAAATTCACATTCTCATTAGTTGCTACTATCTCCCTGCCTTTGTTAGTCTAGTGCTGTTGCAATTTCCAGGAAATACTTCAGGCTTAACAAAGCAACACTTATCTCAGTGTGTTTCTCAAAGGACCTGAACTACATAAATCAGACATTTTTCAGAAGCTTGATAATGAGAATTCTTTTCTCTTTGCTTTCAGGGGAAAGCTCCGGAAGATTGATCAAAGTGATCAAAAGTTTTTGTGACTGTAACTAAATAGTTTTTACAGAGAGTGTTAGACTGATTCTCAGGAGTGCCCACATCCCCTTGTCGGGCACTTATAAAATCACTATCATGATAATTGCTAACCAAGACATGACTGGAATTTCGACTGCACAAAGAAAAGATTTTTTTTAAAAAATGAAGGGAGAATCTAAAGCAAATAAAGAGTGGGAAACTGCATACTTTAAATGGACTGATAACTGGTTTCCTTGTAAGCTGTTGTGTCTCACTGCAACAGTCAAGCTGTATTTCAGCTTTTCCTTTTGTTCACTCAAGTGCACCATATTTTTCACCGAATTTTCACCAGGTTTTTAGTACAGCCACACACGCTTGAGTTATACATAGAGCTGCAACTCCTCTGCCCCACCCTCTGGAATGCAGTTCCAGGGGTCCAGAGATACCTCACTAGATATCAGCTTTCCCAGACAATCTCCTTCCAGTGCTGGATATTCTTAGCAATTGCTGTAATCTTACTTAGGACTCTCCAAGTCTCCTCTAAGGGATCTAGAGAATTCAGGACAGCTGAGGATGAACGTGGCAAAGGAAGGGATGGAGCCTGCTGGCACAGCAAAGCTTGCCTTAATCGATGACCATACATGGGCAGCCTCTGAGCTTTGTAGCGCATTGGAAACGAGAAGCCTGAGTAGGAAGGCAACCTTGAAGGTTGTGCAAGGATAGTTGATTGTGTCTGTAAGAAGCTATTTTCTAGTGATGTACCTCCCAGCTTCACAACAAGAGAGGTGCTAGCCTGCCTCGTAAGATATTGGCCTGTACTTACATCAACACAATGTGCATGTTCTTTTATTGTACCAGCTTTAGTGGGTGCAAAAAGAAGTGGCTGGTTATAGGTTGGTACCAACTGCAGGAAATGCATCTTGCCACTAGTTTCGGGAAGAATCCAGTGTGCTGCATTTAAGCTTTGAAGTCCTTTGTTGCTTAGGAGTGTGTTGTCCAAAGGACTGTCTACCTTACAAATGAGTCTGGGCTTTAAGATCTTTGTCAGAGCTCCTTTTCTGGGTGACTTCAGTGAGGGCTTTTTGGGTGGTAAAGGTAAAGGTACCCCAGACCATTAGATTCAGTCGCGGATGACTCTGGAGTTGTGCGCTCATCTTGCTCTATAGGCCAAGGGAGCCGGTGTTTGTCCACAGACAGCTTCCCAGTCATCTGGCTAGCATGACTAAGCCGCTTCTGGTGAACCAGAGCAGTGCACCAAAACGCTGTTTACCGTCCCACCGGAGCAGTACCTATTTATCTACTTGCACTTTGACGTGCTTTCGAACTGCTAGGTGGGCAGGAGCTGGGACTGAACAATGGGAGCTCACCCCGTTGCAGGGAATCGAACCGCTGACCTTCTGATCGGCAAGCCCTAGGTGGTGGTGGCCTGCTTATAGAATGCCATCCCTGGAGAGGTCTAGCTGGCACCTTTGTTGCAGTGTTTTGTGTTGGCCAAATGCACAGGAAAGCATGGCATAAAATTGTGTGACGCAACCATCGCATATTCCCCCAGAAAACAAATCAGATTGAATACTCCACATGTAGCCAGCATCATATAAGCTCCTGCAGCATCACCCTAAAGTTTTTAATTGGTGATATTAAGGAACTAACGGAAAGGCAAATTCTGAGAGAAATGTGAAGGGTTTTGGTGTTTTTTATGGTGAGATATCAACATGCAGGAATGGCCCCATATCGTGCCAGGGGAGGGGGAGGTAGGGATATAACATATGAGTTTCAATAAATTATCCTTGCCTATCCTGTAAAGCTGCCTGTGACAAAATGCAAGTATGCTGAGGAGCACTGTTATTTGCTTCAACAAAACTTTACAGCAACAATTCAAGGGGAAAGAGGAACTGCACTAAGCAAACCCTGTGGTTACTCTAAGAGGAAATATGCTGTTCACAGATTCAGTTTCAAGAAAGAAGAGGAGGAGGAGGTTATAACGAAGAGCCATTTTCATCCTTGCAGATCCTTTCTTGGCATTTTGTGCAGAAGGGAAGTGAGTGACTAGAAAAGAGCCTTGAGTCTTGCAATCAAGGGAGTGGCTAGGTGCATGTCTGAGTCCTGCAAAGACTTCCTCAGCGATAATTCCTAAGTGGATTGCAAAAATGAGGCTCTGTGACCAATTTCCTACATCACATTTTCAAAATGCAAGGGGTGGGCGTGGATGCAGAGGCGAAATGCAACATAAGAAGCAGAAGTCAAAGGCAGTTAAAATAACTCATTCCTTGAGCTACTCACCACCTTTAAAATAGATTATGGTTGTCACTTTTCATTTTGGCAAATGTTCTCAAGCTTACATGGACCCATTCATCTTTAACAGGCCTCAACCACTATTTTGTTCACTCAAATCCATCAATTTAAAACATCAATCAAAGGGGAAGACCATTTTCTACTATTTGCACTGAGGCTTATAGGAGTGTGCTTATAATTCTGTGCTGATTTTTGTCCCTTATTCCAAATTTACTAAGAGGTCTAATTTTTATAGCAAGGTTAAAGCAGCTGTGGGCACAGGGCTGTCTCCACTAACTAACTGTCCAAAAATGTCACCTTACATGTGTTTGCAGTGAGCCATAGGTCTGTGCCTATGTCATTACCATGTCACCAAAAGCAATCCCAAGTCAAAACTGCCAACTTAGAAGAAGTGCCAACATGGTTAAAGAATAAACTGGCTGCATGCCCACGGATCATGTGAACAGACTTCCATTGATATGCAGTGATTTTCACTTTTATGATGAAGAGAAATAAGCAATTCCCCCTAACTCTTGCAAAACATGAATCAAGCATAGCCTTTTTATCCCTCAGTGCTGTTGGTGCCAACAGCAGCGTTGCTTCCGGGGCAAATTCTGGCTTGCAGCGTGGAAGGAGAGGAGCTGCTTTCATCAAGACCACAGTGCAAGGGGACATAATAAAATAAAAATCCCCCACTGCATGCCACAGTCTCAATCCTGATCTGCTCCCCCTACCTGTGTGTTATTTTACTTCCTCCACCACCCCGCCACAACCACATGGCTCCCTTTTTTGATGCTGAGAAGATACAACCTTTTTTTATTCAGGTTAATACTTAATGCTGAACAATACTGGGGGTTTTTGTAAAAGGGAGGGAGGAAGGAAGGAAGGAAGGAAGGAAGGAAGGAAGGAAGGAAGGAAGGAAGGAAGGAAGGAAAGAAAAGAAAGAAAGAAAGAAAGAAAGAAAGAAAGAAAGAAAGAAAGAAAGAAAGAAAGAAAGTCACAGCCTAGTCTCCCCAAATGTGCAGGTAATGTCAGGGGCATCTCTGAAGTCCTGGAGTCTGAACTCTGTAGCTGATATGAAGCATATCAGCACTTGGCACTTGAGATGTGCTCTGAAATGTACAGATTTCCATCTTCTTATCCCCATTATTATTAGAGCCAAACTAGACCTAATGGCAGCAGTTCCATCAGTGCTTGGGTGGGGAGTACAGAACCCTTCCCCTTCCAACAACTTAGCGTCTCTGCAGCTCCTCCCTCCCTCCCCCCCTACTTTTCCGCAAGTATTTCATGCTTCCCAGTATTAAGAGTCCTGCTTGAGGTGGGGGGATGCAGCATCAAGAGGGAACAGATTTTTGGGGTGGGTCCTACCTTGCAGTGGGGTGAAGTGGCCTGCTTTTTTGGGGGGGGGAGCAGGCATTTGGTGCCTGAATGGCACAACAAAACCTTGGCAGCAGAGGGTGATTTTCATTGGGGCTATGCTTAAGGCAACAAAATGTCTTGAGTTGCCGCTATAGATTATGATGAGGTAAGCCATGGATGAGGGGAGGGTTCTGCGCTCCTTGCCCACTTGTCCCATTTTGTTCCTTAAGCTAGACTTCCCACCTTTTCACATGACTGAGGCAGGTCAAGATTTAATATCTACTCTCATCACAACAATCTTAGCCCTAATACTCAGCATTTGTATAGCACCTTAAGTGCGTTCAAAGCACTTAATCATCCTACCACACCCAAGCACGTTCACATGGTGAAGCCATACTTCAACAAGAGCATCACACTTCTCACCACTTCTATGCTAAAACCTTTTTTTTTTTTTGCATGAACAGCAATGACTCAGAAACTCATCTGTGTGAAGCATGAACAAGTTCCCCCAAAGTAGTCAGCAAACCTGGTCTCCAGATCTCCCACCAACTCTTTTTAGATAAGCACCTCCCCTTTCCTATCTTCCTTTTTTCACTTTGCTAACCTTGAAACCGTCACAAGACATGAGGAGAACAACAAGCCGAAATGTGTCCTGTTGAAGCCGAGACATGCGTCAAGGCCCTTCCTTACCTTTGTGTCTCGCCTTCAGCCCCTTCTTCTACCTCAATCTCGCAGTCGACATCCCTCAGACATTCCGCATCAGCCATTTTCTTTGCTTGCGAAGAGTGCAATTGAGTCAACTGGCTCTGTAGACGGTTTTGTAAGAACACCGAGCAAGCAGTTGAGCTCTCCCCACTCTTCCTGTATTGACTCTAAAGCCAGCAGCACCGGATATCATGTAAGGCTGAAGGTGCAAGTTTGTTTTTCACTCAGAAAGAACAGCAACAAAAAAAAGAGGAACAAATTTCCCCACCCACCCTAAGATGCAGGCCGCAAAGGGGAAGAAAGAATGATAGCAGTTTGAAGAAGAGTCTTTGTCCTTAAATCAAGCTGAACCTCACAAATGTTGCATCAGCAGCCTCTGTTCCTACATGTATGGATAACTCCTATTCTCTCTCTCTCTCTTAGTCTTATCTATGTTTTGTCTATGCTAGGATCCTTAGAGCAAATAGCAGGGCTGGGAGATTGGGCAGTTGCAACACTGCTTCAGCAAGTATCTACAAGCAGCATAGTTGAAGGGATGGAAAGAGGGCCAAAGTCCACAGCCTGGCAAATATGGAGCCAAAGGAACACCCCAGAAGGGAGAGCAGAGAGAGCGGCTTAAGTCAGTTGGAGGGTTGGTTGTAAAATGCCTCATGGCAGTCAAGCAGCCACCATGACACCCCAAAAGTTATTGATTTGTTTCATGCATTTCTCCATGTCACTCCTCCATCATATTTAATTCCCACAACAACCCTGTGAGGTAGGTTAGGCTAAGTGGCAATGACTGGCCCAAGTCAGATGGCCAAGTGGGGATTTGAACCCTGGTCTCCCGGGTCCTAGTCCAACACTCTAACCACTATGCCACACATACTCTATTGCTAACTACCTTGTGTTGCTCTGTATTGGCTTCCAAACACGGCCTTAATACAAAAAGAGCGGGCTGCTGATGGCCCCAATATGCAGCTGTGCCATAGCAAGTAAAGTGGATTTGTTATACTGAGCTCTTTGACTATGAACAATGGATTTACTTCCAAGTAAATGTATTCAGGATTGATGTGCACATACTCCAATTTAAGCTGATTTAAAAGCAATATGATAAAACCTGCTTAATACTCTTGGCTTAGCTTGTAGATCAGCCAACCCAGAACTGGAGTTTGTGATAAAAAGGAACGATCTCAAGTAGTATTAACAGTTTAAAGCTATTCTCTTCAGTAAATCTCTAGTGTATGTACATGTATATATCAAAATAAACTTGAAGAGCTGATCGTTTATCTTTTAAATCCTGCCTTTTTTATTAACTGGTTTGAGTCTTTCAATTAATTTGAGTCTTTCAATGTATATGTTGCATTTCAATTGCAGGTAAATTTTCAATATCTTTAATAAAAGTAACAATTTGTTTTGATTAAATAGCACATATATTTTAATTTGGAAGGTCCCTTTGATCACATTACATGGATTAGAAGATGCATTTAAGACGAGGTTGTTAGTACCCTCACAGAGGCAACTGTACTTCAAAATCACCATATATAATGGGTTCATAATTGGCATTTGAATTGTTTTGAGGAATCAGATCATTCTCCCAGCTTAAGCAAAACACATTTGTTGAGTATCAGTGGATATTTTAATCTGCAGGTCCACGGCTTCTAACAAGTGATCTATCCAGACAGCTCAGAGGACAACAAACTGAAACATCTGGGTGGGGTGGGGGAGTTAATGAAAGGCCTTAGAACGATTTGTACATAGATTGGTCTCTACTGTGGCAGATGAAATGAGAGATGGTGGGGTAACCTCACCAAGTAGTCCACCACTTCCTTCCTGTGCCTTCTTTTCCTCTGTGTTGCTACATTTTCCGTGTGCTCATGGATGAAGCAACTCCTCCGAAATGGCTTGGACAAGAGGACACAGTTCTGAGGGCCCCTTAGATAGGCGAGAGCACAAGGTTCTCAAATCCCTTGCACAAGAGCTGAATAAAGGTGATGAAAGGAGAGACAGGAGTTACATTTAGAGCATTTAGGCTCCCTGATGACTGAGATAATGTCTGTGCAGTGCTTTGAAGACTTAGTGCAAAGCTCTGCATGTCTACTGAGAAACAAGTCCTGTTGAATTTAATGGGACTTTCAATATTTTTTCACATTTATTAAAATATTTCAAAACCCTAGCATTTCCTCTAGCAATTCTACCATATTTAAAGTGCCGTGTTAAAAGCCTGTTTACATACGCACTCACACACTTAAATTATTTACTGTGTTAATATTCTGCTAAATTAATAAATCAGAATATTTATGCGGGAGAAATAAATATATTTTTCGTTACATAGACTTTGTAGCTGTTCTCTTGATTTTTAAAGAAAGGCAGTCTTTAATTCCAAGACAATGCCTTCATCCAGCGAGCCTCCCACACTCCAGGATGTTATACAGCTGCCTCTGTGAGCCAGGAGTTCCCCCGCTGCACAGGTGATCAGCACTGTCAAGTCCTGCCAGTGTTGCTCACCTTGTTAGGAAAGGAGGGGGGAAAGTGAGCCTCTGGAGTCAATCACCCACACCTCACACAGGTAATGATTGCTGTGAGAACAGTCAGCACGCACCAACACTGGTTTCCACGTGTGGATTGTCCATGCTGATTGGGGCATGTATTTCTAAAAGGAATATGCTCTCCATGGAAGCATTGTGAAACAGATGCATGACATTTACTGCTTGTGCATTTGCCCCAATCTATTTTCATTTTTGGGGAAATGTTTCCAGTCAATTTATAGTATTTCTAATTCTGGGCAACCCCTCACCTGATGTGTGCTCCATCCTTTGTTAGGGACACCTGTTTCTGTCTCCATGCCAACAAATCTACTTATCCCTCCCCACAGCCTAAGATGCTTGAAAAGAATTCTTTCGCCTTAGGGGGCTAGCACAGGTGGCCTGCTTTGCTTTTCTGCCTCACGGTTTGCAGATCTGCCAGATCTCTGAACATGAGAGCTTTTGCCTCATTGTTATGCGTTTGGATATTTCCCCCCAGATGATGCTGTCAGAGATGCTGTTGGGAGGAACTCAGCTGTGAAGATGTTTGTTTCATAGGGCAGTAAATTATCTTTCTGTGGAGAAAGTTCCTGCAGGACTTAATAATCGAGTCACTTCTCCTAACCTTCATTTACTTTGTGCTTCCCATTGTGCAGTACGGTGGTACCTCGGGTTACAGACACTTCAGGTTACAGACGCTTCAGGTTACAGACTCTGCTAACCCAGAAGTAGTACCTCAGGTTAAGAACTTTGCTTCAGGATGAGAACAGAAATTGTGCTCTGGCGGTGCGGCAGCAGCGGGAGGCCCCATTAGCTAAAGTGGTACCTCAGGTTAAGAACAGTTTCAGGTTAAGAACGGACCTCTGGAATGAATTAAGTTCTTAACCCAAGGTACCACTGTATATCACAGGTCTGGCCCAACAGAGCAGCTTCCACAGCTAGGGATAGGGAAGAAAGCCAATTCACGATCGCCTTTAAAACCAAATTTATCAAATGTACACTTCCCCCAAAACAATATGCGAACCTAAGCACAGCCATCCTTCAAAATTCACAGTTAACCAAATTTTCACGATGCAGTTCCCCAACCACTGTTCACGAAAATGCATATAATAGGGGAAAGTGTGCTTTTATTAAAAAATCACAGTTTGCTGCAGAGATGCAGAGAACTGGATTTAAGACTGGTAAAATGAGAAGCTGAGAAAACCAAAACTGACAGCTTCTTCCACCCCTATCTGTGTACTTCATGATACAGAAAATAATGTAACACCAAGCAGGAAATTGCCTGTTATTAAGGGTGGGGGCATTTGGCTCTGTCAAAATAATACCAGGCATAAACCTGCAGTCTGCCTCCCCATTCCCTAATCAATAAATGTCAGCCTCCCAGAAAACTTACCCCATTGGCCCAGGTTGATTGCAGTTTAAGGGGTGTCCCTCTCTCCCATACTTCTTGGGCGCTACGAGCTCATATCTCAGACACAGCTCAGAGCTAGGCCATCTTGGCTTTGATAGGTAAGCCATGGTATGTACCTAAAGAAAATCCTTGGGCTCTGAGAAGAAGGAAGTTGGGGCCCTTCCAAACAAATTTTAAACCTTAAACAAAATTTAAAGATATAGGGTTGCCAGAACCAGCAAGCGACACTGTTGGCTGAATGGAACAACAGTTGCTCTACTCCTCTGTGAACAGGAAGTGACTCTTTAATGCAGTACTTCCTTTATGCTTCCAGCTGGCTGTTCCACCATCAATGCTCATGGAAACGTATTTTAAAAGTGGCAGAGATAGCACAGGATAGTACGCACCCCGGAAATGATCTCTTTCACCTTCTGCCTTCTGGAAGAAGGTATAGGGTTATAAAGGCCAGGACTAGCCGCCTGAGAAACAGTTTCTACGCAAATGCAATTCTGGTTCTAAACGCAGCATAAGGGGTCTCTATAGTATAGTGTATTTTAAAATGGGGTTTCAGAGTTTTTAGGTTTTTGAATGTTTTGTGTAGTTTTTATGTACACTGTAGTTTTATGTAGTTTTTATATAGTTTTGTGGTAGTTTTATGTAGTTTTTCAATTTCATTGTTCTGCATGGGACAATGACAATAAAATATCATATATCGTATATCGTATTTCACCTGACACAGTTCTCACCCATGTAGAATGGAGAAGACCCATACATGCTGAAGCTATGCACATTTCTAGACTCCACAGCTCATTAAGCACTATTTCTCCCATAGGCCAGCCCAAGACCAAAGGACAAAATGGTCTCCCACCACCCAACCTTGTTCTGTGTACAGAAGCTGACTGGACCATCAGCTGAATCTTTTTTCAATCCTGACAATGATGTTCTCCACAGCACCTGAAGGCAGCTGGCTAGTTAGGGAGGTTCTGATCAGGCCATGTTGCACACATTGTTCTGTCCTCCAATAGAAGGTTATAGCAAGGGGCTCAGAAGCTGCAGCAGGGGGAAGGACTACCACCACTGCTCCAAAGCCTCCGCCATCTGTTTCATGCAAGCCCCCACTTCCCCTTCCCCTCCAACTCCCCTCTCCACGTGTCCTATGTCTCACATCTAGGGCATTTTTCTTATATCTCTTTCTCTCCATTCAGGCTCCTGCTTGGGTTTCCTTCCTTTCACCTCTCACTTCAGGATCTAGCTCAGCTGGCGTCCAAACTCCTTTTGCACATGTTCCACTTCTGGAAATACAGATACATTCATTCTTTCCTTTGGACATAGTGATGTAGTTCACTGCCATGTTGTTTCAATAGTCAGCAGTTTCCCCAGCTTACTTGCAAAGCGATGATGAAGAGCAAGTACTTCTAGCTCCCGCAGCAGGAGTTCTCAGCATGCTCAGTCAAATATTGGGATATGCCATTCAAAACCATCATTCTCTAATCCTTTGGAATGAAACTAAAATTATAGTCAATTTGCTGATAACAGCCCAAATAATAGCTGCATTCCAAAAAGTAGTACATTAGCTAATTGAGGTTAATGGTAGCTGAGTTAGATTAATGGGTTCATAAAGCATGAGAGGTTCTGCTAATAGATGCTTTATTGTTTTGCATAACTATAATTTTAAGATGCATATTTTTGTATTTTACTCATTCCTAGGAGATGTCTTGCAAATCACAGTGAATCTTTGGTATTTATTTGTGCTCTCTTGTTCTCTTGTGGTATTTACATTTGTGCATATTTTGCTTTGAAGCCCTTCACTAAATTTGTAATTCTATTTGGTTTTTATAGATTGTAATTTAATTTGGATTTTATTTTAATAATAAATATCTGATTGGGGTTTGCAGTCCATTTGGAAATGGAGAGCTGGCCATCATAGTGGCAATGCAATAAAAGTTCTGATCCATTATGCCTATTATCAACCTTTGACTGCCCAGTCCCATGCATGGAGTCCAGTGAGGCCTGTTCAACATTAAGGACGTATCCTTCACTTGGTTTCAAAGTTCAGGTTGTGAGTGTTGTTTTCTTATGAAGCCAAAACAGTAAAAAGCCTAAGGAAGGGAGGAGCACAGAAGAGAACATTGAGGACTGAGCATGCTTTGTGACCATCGAATGCTGACTGAGTCTTGAGTGAGCCAGTGGTGTGTAATGAGTGAGCCAGTGTGGTGTAGTGGTTAAGAGTGGTAGTCTTGTAATCTGGGAAACCGGGTTCGAGTCTCCGCTCCCCACATGCAGCTGCTGGGTGACCTTGGGCCAGTCACACTTCTTTGAAGTCTCTCAGCCCCACTCACCTCACAGAGTGTTTGTTGTGGGGGAGGAAGGGAAAGGAGATTGTTAGCCGCTTTGAGACTCCTTAAAGGGAGTGAAAGGCGGAATATCAAATCCAAACTCTTCTTCTTCTTCTTCAATGAAAAACTAAGGCGGCCTGGAATGGAATGAATGACACTCCACCCTGCAACATTTTGTTGTTGATCCCACATGTAACTGAAGCAGCAGATTGTTGTGAACTGCCCTGTGATCTTCAGATGAAGGGCTATACAAATTTAATAAATAATAATAATAATAGATTGAGTCTCACAGGTGACTGGAAGGCCAGTCAATCATTATGTTCAGCATCTAATAAGGTCTCTCACTGCCATAGTTGGAATGGAGCACCTCATTAGCCTGCCCAGAAGACACACTGAGAAGAAGTCACATGCAGCTGCTCAGATTTTTTAGGTGTGAGGCAGGCAGAGTAGTTTTTCCGAGTAACCCTGGTGTCGATAATGATGACTATGCTAAAAGAAAATGTCCTTGCAGTGAGAACACTGAGTTAGTGGAAGACGGATAATCCTGCTTAATCCTTTGCCTGCTAATACCTTAAAAACAAGCTACACTCTTCAACTGGCACCAGAAGCATTTTGCTCTATTCAGCGGCAGCACCCAAAAAGCCTCTCTTCCTTTTGGCTTGTGGACAGAGCAAGGTCCTGAAGACAGGAGCTTTTATGGACATTTGATCTGCAGCTGAGTAGCTTGTTCACCCATTCAGTAATAGCTATTGCTGTTTTGTGATCATACAAGTGCCTCCTAAAACTGTCCCTAGTGCTCCAGAAACAGGTGGATATGAGGCAAAAAATTATTTGGAGTGCAGCTGCAAACTTGCTTACATTCAAACTCTGGGAACTCTTCTCAAAGGCAAGAGTTAATTCCATGGCACACATAATACAAAAGCACCACAAGGAAGTCCTCTGTGTATGCATTGCAAAACAGCAACTGCAGTTTGTATCTGAGAGAGATCTATCTGCAGTTTCCATGTCAGGAAAATACAAACGCAGTCACGGCACGAAGTCATTTTGTACCTCAGCCTCCCAAGGCTTACAAATTCAGCCACACTTCCAAAGCTTTATTTACATCAGTTTAGTTGTAACAACAGGTCCTACCAAATTACAGGATTTAATGACTGGATTGTTTCAGGTCATGCAGCTACCATTGTTGCAAAATGGGTTTTAAGACATTTCACAGCTCAAGACAATTATCTTTCCAGCAATAACATGGGGTCAGGCTGCGGGTAGGGTCTGTAAGGTGGATTGCTCTATGAAATACAACTGTGGCCTGAGGACAGTCATCCCAAAAACAGCGCTGTAAAGGATTGGCAGAAAATGAGGTGGCAGGATAGGTGGAAAAGGAGCGGTGGGACTTGGATGGGGGATGAGGATTGGACTGAACAGCTGCATGGTTCCTATTACTCGCCGCCTTCAAACATCTTCTTCCTGCCCTCCATGCCAGACTTCTCCTCAATGTTCTTCCTCCAGTCACCCACATCACGAAGATCCTTCTCCTATGGGAGGAAGGGGAGAAACATTCAAGCTTGGTCAATGTCCTTGAACAAAGGGCCACATCCATTTGCTTTTCCTTACACAGCCTTGCTTGATAGAGAGAATGCTACAAGCACTTGTGTATGAACAAAGAGTGCCAGTTATATAGGGTTGGTTCACAAGCTCCCAGCCGGAAAGGTATCTATGAATCCCAAAACAGCATAAAATCAACACAAAACACAGCAAGAAGTGAAAATGATTATTCTTCCAGACACAATTCAGAGTCTTGGACACTATGGGTCACACCCAATGTTGGTCATACTGTGAGCAGACCCACCAAAATTAATAGACATGACTGACTTGAGTCCATTAATCTTTATGTGTCTGCTCTAAGTAAAACAGAGTTGGGTACAGCCTCATAATCAGAAAACCCTGGAAGTCAACTAACTGTACTGCTTTTGCAGTCACCTACTGCTTGGTTACACTGGATGCCCTTCCTGGTTCCTGTCATCTTCCAGCTGACTTAAAATGCAATTTTTAAAAACTCACTGTTATCTAATTGTGGCCTTTTTAAAATTCACCATTATCTCAGTAATGGTTCTTTATTACCATTGTTATCAGCGTGCTTCTTGGAGATGTTCTCCTTTAAGAAACCCACACAGCATGTTTCTTGCTGATTCATAGGAAGCAAACTGGGAGGTTTTCACTCTGACAGGTTTGGGTGGGAGTGGTGAGCGACACAGAAAAAAATTGCAGAGCTATGAATAGTTGACAGTTTTTCCTTTTACTGTGCACTGCTTGTCTTAAAGCTTCGTATTTTATTCTGGCTTTAATGGGGTTTGGGTTTTTTTATCAATGCTGTAAGTTGCCTTGAGACTCTATTTGGAGGGAGGAAGGTAAAACAGAAGAATGAATTTATGTTATTTTACTTGTGATCTGTGGCTTTAAATTAATGCACAACCCTATGCACATCTGCTCAGAAGCAAGCCCCGTTATGTTCAATCAGACTTATTCCCAAATATGTTTGTACAGGACTGCAGTCTAGATTGGACTGAAAGGCCATTGCCTGCATTTGTGCATCGACAATTACAGTACTAGTAGCTACATACCTCTAAGAGGTAAAATGAAAAAAACTGATGTAATTTTCTTAAGTACAACCAAATATGATTGACACTGAATGTAGTACCAAGAAAAAAAGTATAAAAAGCATCCCCACTGAGCTACTTTAGACAATTACCAGGTGAAACAAAGGAAAGAACCTGAGGCTAGTTGCTAGTGACAAGGAAATGAATGCAACAAAGAAGTAAGGGAACATTGTTAAATGCTAAACTGAGTCACTGGGCACTAAGGGGAGAAAAACCTGTAGGGCAGTAGATACCAGACCAGAACACAATGTGTCCATGTCTTTGACATGTAGTTTCATTACAAATCAGAATTTGAGTAGACAGCTTTGCTAAATTACACAGCAAAGTCATAGCGGATGATTCTTTTAACCCCTTTAGATACCTTTTCAGTGTCTTCCTTCTTGACTTGCTTCAGGTTAGCTCTAAGATCCATGCAGACCTTGTGTTTGGAGCCCAGAAGGGCACGTAGCATAGCGTCTGCAGACATGCGGACTCTCTTCAGAGGTGGCCTCTTGAACTTGCCCCTCAGGTCAAACAGTTTCTGGCTCAAATCTTCAAGCTAGAGGGAGAGGCAGAGAAAGAAAAAGGTGCAAGGGTGGGAAAGGTGACTGAAATTAGATTAGGGGGATACAGCACAAAGCACTACTCAATTATAGGACACAGCCTGACAAAGTAAAGTATACAGAAATTACAGGACAGAAGCAGGCACTTGAGGAAAGATACAAAGGGAAAGTAGTTCAAGGAGTTACACTGAAGGTATGTCTGTACCTACTCTTTTCTGTGTGATAGCCCACAAATATACTACAAGATGTACTACAAATATATGGCAAAGACAGCATTTAATCCCAAGAGTTGTCTCCTATTGCTCTGCTTCTGCTCTCCCAAAAGAGGAACTAACCCTCCCACAGCTAATTTGAACATTACAAAATGTAATTTGTTCCATGACTTCTTCCTCCTTTTTACACTTTTTAGAAAATTGGTGTCAATGTACCAATGCAACTACCCCTAGTAACAAGTAAACACTTTCTTCTAGGTGGCAGATGCCAGCCTTCCATATTTTCTTGGTGGTTTCTTATCCTACTGAACACACATCGTATATTTCAGGTATACCCTTTATGCACACCCTTAACATAGAAAGTGAGACCTCCGACAGTCTAGAAATGTAACTTTGAGTCCATTTGTGGAATTTTTACCTTTGTTCAAGAGCTATATACAAGAAGTTATTGTATCCTTCTGGACCCAACCCACTCTTTGGAAACAAAAGTAGGACAATGAAACCCAGAAATTGAAACACACACTCAATACAGCACAGAGCTGGATTACCTCCTTAGTAGTTTTCTGTAACTTAACCTCTGTGTCGTATCTTTCCTCATCAACCTCCTCTATCTTAGCATGAAGTTTTTTGCAAAATTCCTGTTGAGAAACAAGGAGAGATTATTAAAGAGGGTTGCTGAAACCCATAGGGCATTTCCTCCCCAGTCTTTCTGTGGGGAAATCTATATTTTATGTGTCTTCAGTACAGAGGTCTGGCTACACAGTTTCAGAAGTGTTCATAGTGAGTTCTTCAGTCCAGCTGCTTTTTTGAAAATCTGAGAACCTAAATCAAGTGGAGAGCATTTTCACAATTCAATCCTGTACTTGTCTGCTCAGAAGTAAGTCTCAAGGAGACCTTTCCTGGCAAATGTATGCATGGGATTGCAGAATATAAATACAGTGGTACCTCGGGTTACATACGCTTCAGGTTACATATGCTTCAGGTTACAGACTCCGCTAACCCAGAAATAGTACCTCGGATTAAGAACTTTGCTTCAGGATGAGAACAGAAATCATGCTCTGGCGGCACAGCGGCAGCAGGAGGTCCCATTAGCTAAAGTGGTGCTTCAGGTTAAGAACAGTTTCAGGTTAAGTACGGACCTCCGGAACGAATTAAGTACTTAATCCGTGGTACCACTGTATAATAAATAAGTGGGATTCTCTTATGCCACTTCATGCTTTCTTTAGGATGGTGTGTGTGTGTGTGTGTGTGTGTGTGTGCGTGTGTGTGTTACTGAATAGCTAGTTTTGCATTAAAGTGTGTCCTTCCTACCAAGGAATCCTGATTCACATCTGATGTAATTTGCAGCTTAATTCTTTTTCTTTACTTACTTCTGTGGGACTTGGGTTTGTTGTCAAAGCAGAGCTAAGGAGAACATTCCATGAGCACAAAATTTGTCATTGCATGATGGAATACCTCTCTGTCTGCCCCTTAAATCTGTTCTGTTGGTTCCCCTAATCCTCCAGAGCAGATTTGGTGATATTGTGGGGTATGAACAGGGCTGGATGGGGGGGATCCCATTGCACTAGTGCTAATCCTTGCCCTATTACAACCACTTAGCTGAATACTGTCCTTAGTTCATAGATGTGTCTCTAGGATTGCACTCTCGGCTACCTCCTTCACTGGACTAGATTCCACTGCAGTACAAGAAACCTGCTATGTGGTTAGATGCAATAATGGCTACTTGCATAGGCCCTGCTGAGGGATGTGAATTATTTTATCAAGAGATTATTGAGCAAGTCATGAAAGGTGGCAGAGGCATTTTTCTTGCCATGGTTGAGTCTGCTTTCCCCTCAGTCAGGGACACTGCTTCAGAGCTCAGTGACCAGGGGACTGTGGGACAGGAAGAGATGTGGGTGCAAAATTTTCAGGAAAACTTAAAGACTCTTGGTGTATCCAACCATAAACTGCAGAAAAGCAGCATATTTCTGGAAAACACATTGTAGTTGCTTCTTCATACCTCATGTTAACACAGGTCAGTGACACACATAAACACTTTTTTTAAAAAAAAAGCAAAGGGTTCTGTGCCTTTGAAATGTGTATCTGATATAGGAGGCTCCCTTAAGCATCAATCCTAAACCAATATTCCTAGTAGTAAGCCCTACTGAATACTATAGGCCCTAGTTTTGAATAAGCACGCACAGGGGTGGACCGTTGTTTACAACAACAGTCACTCAATGTGCAGAAGCAATGACCAGGCCAGATATATAGGCGATTCTGAGTGAAAAAAATCACATGGGAGCTGAACATGACGGGGGGGGGGTGTACAGCCCTAGAAATACAGTCCAACCTTACTTAAATGATGTCTTTGCTTCAAAAGCAACATAGGAGCAAATAATCCATAAAAAACACAATAACAAATGTTGCAATTCAATATGTCAACCCTGACCACTAAACAACACTATGGATTCTGATAAAATATCCTATGTCAGGTTTGAAAGGAACCTGGTGCCCTCCAGCTGTTTATGACCCCCAACTCCCATTATTTCAAAACACTGGCTAAACTGGCTGGGGCTGATGGGAGTTGGAGTCCAACAACATATGGAGGGCTACACTTCCCCATCCTTGTTCTATGTAGCTGTTTCTACCAATGCCATTGTATCATGAATGATCAGGCAAAGTTGTTAAGCACAGATGTGTTCTAAAAAATAAATTAAAAATCACTGTCTGGACCAATATGCATTCACTCACATGCTCTGTGAAGACCTAGTGTGAAAGGAGAATTATCATTTACACAGGCATGTCCAGACCTCTGGGTTTGAAGATTGTTTGGAGCAGGCAATGGACTGAGACCAAACTAGAGGTGAATGAAATTAAATAATAATAATAATAATAAAATAATAATAATAATAATAGACCTTTATTGTCACTACACCTTAGAACTACACCTTAGAACTGACATCCTATGTTGCGGTTCTTGTGCAGCAGTGAATGGAGGAGATTCAATTATTACCTGCAATTCTTGCATGGAACTTGGGAGTGACAGAGGTGGACAGTGCTCTGCAAGGTAGTTGGCCTTTTCTTGTTCTTTGGCTACAGCTTCTTTTTCAAGTTCACCAGCAGCAATCTGGAGCATAACACTCTGGAGGATAAAGTTGGGACAAGCACAATGACTGGGGGAACAGAACGACTTCTCAAGGCAATCGTCATCATACACAATGAGACACAAACACCCACCAGGGTGAAGTGCTGGGCACAGAGAAATAGACTGGGCAGAGCCAGCATGGGCCTAATGGGGAAAGGGTAGGATGGGATTTGGAAGCTGTGGCCCTCCAGATTTTATTGAACTCCCAACTCCTATTAACCCCAGTCGGAATAGCCAACCGTAAGGGTTGCTTAGAGCTGTAGGCCAACAATATCTAGAGCAGGGGTCAGCAACCTTTTTCAGCCATGGGCTGGTCCACAGTCCCTCAGACCATGTGGTGGGCCGGACTATATTTTTTTTGGGGGGGGGGATAAATGAATTCCTATGCCCCACAAATAACCCAGAGATGCATTTTAAATAAAAGGACACATTCTACTCATGTAAAAACACACTGATTCCCAGACCATCCGCGGGCCACATTGAGAAGGCGATTGGGCTGCATCAGGCCCCCGGGCCTTAGGTTGCCTACCCCTGTTCTAGAGGTTCACAGGTCCCCCATTTCTGGTGTAGGGCCAGGGCTTGTGCTCTGCCATGACTTCACTGGATGGTCTTGGGAAAGCCACCGCCCCTTAGCTTCAGTATCCTGTGTAAAACGAATACTATAATGATTGGATTCAGAGTCAAGCTAGTTGTAACAGCAGATGTTCTGTTTGCTTAAACATGCAGCTGCACCAATCATGTAGAAAGAGAGGGTAGGCACTGATTTTAACAATGAAAAGGATTCACATGTGAGAGGTTCAAAACCATACCTGCCCTCAACACACACACTTCTGCATTATGTCCATGCAGTTCCTCTCCCTGAGCGCCTTTCTCCTCAGATCAGCTCCAGTATCACAAGTTGCCTCAGCTTGGCAAAAAAAACACTTGAGAGGAAAGGTGTGGTGTAAAAGTCTCAACACCATCCATCCATCTGCCCCCTTCCCTGTTGACATATGGGTGAGGGGGCCTCTTTCACATGATTGTGGCAGCTCTGTGTCTAAACTGCCATCATTGCTGCCACCGCCATGGCAAGTGTGGGGCTATTGTACTTGAAAAGTTAAACATGGCAGAAGCTGTGAAGTAGGGATGGGGACCCTGTGCCCCACCAATGTTGTTGAGCTACAGCTCCCCTCCAGCATTGCCAGTGGTCAGGAATGGCGGGAGCTGTCATTAAGCAATATCTAGAAGGCCACCAGTTCCCTATCCATGTCGTCAAGCGTCTGACATTTTAAAAGAGCTCTTGTAGATGAAAAGCAACAATAGAAAAGGGTCTTAGTGTGGAATAGTCAGGCCAGTTTTCTGTAGATGTCAAGAAGCCCTTTGGAAAAGGGGCCACTCAGGCAGAGTTCAGTGCTGTGAGGCTTAGAGCTTTTTACCATCCATATCTCTTACCCAAGGGGAAAAGTAAGAAAGAAACAGAAGTCGTTTTGTTAGGAACGACCAGAGAGAAAAGGTACCTTGAGATGCTGCCGGCGGGCAGTGATTGCCCTCTTCCTTTTCTGAAATGGCAAGAAGCAAAATGAGAAAGAAGTGGGTTACTTAAGTGTTTTGTCCTTCTCACAGTCACAGCCGATTTCTCCCCCTCCCCCAGGCATGTCTTTTGACATTGCTTCAAGAGGCAATTGGGTATAGATGTCAAGATTTGCCCTCAAATGATGCTAATTGGACCCTTTGCTTCTGCAAGTTGGCTCCTCATAACAACAGCACATTCTATCTCTGGTGCTTTGGGGCAGAGGGAATAGCCATGCATGTTTTGAATAGCTCCCTGACCTGCTTGCTGTACTTTCATTTGAGGGCATCCCATCCAAGTCATGAATGTTTAAGAAATCTGATAAGGTCACCACAGTATGGGGGCAGCCAGACCAGAATTTGGCCTTTTAAAAGTGACTTTTAAAGGCAGTGGAAAGACTTGGCTGTACTGCAGTAGGCTTTGGTCAAAATCTATCATTAGTGTGCCCATGTATGCTATGAGATGCTTCTTCCAGAAGCCCATTTTGTAACTCTTTCTTGTGCAATTTATTCCTATGGGAAAATCCATTTCAATACTTGTGGTGGGGACTAAGCAAAAGAGAGGGGAAGTTTGCTCCCAAGTGAAAAGAAAAGAAACCAAATACACCAGTAAGAAAAGGAATCCATATGGTAAGTCCTATACGCTTAGATGGGCCCTTCTTCTGCTGCTCTATATTTCTGAGGCCTAGAAGGTGGTTACAAAACTCAGGGCCTTTTTAGTGGTTTCCCCTGCACTATGAAACTATCCATCCAAGGAAGTCCACCAAGACACCTCTCTTCTGACTGTTAGGGATCTGGTAAAATAAAAATAAAAAACTTTCCCCATAAAGCCCTTGGGGGGGGCGCGTTACCTAATTGTTAAGACTGTAAAACTAATGTCTGTTTGTTCTCTTGTATTAGTTGCTTAATTTTGATTAGTGGTCTTAATTGGATGACTTTAATGGTTTTTAATAGTTCTGACTGCAGTTTGCTATGTTATGTGTAAGCTACTTTAGGGATCCTTTTAGATAAATAGGAGGGATGAGAAACAAACAAACAAACGAATGAATAAAGGCATACATGCTCTCAACAACCACCACCACCACAACAACCACCTAACACTGAACAGTCCAAAACCATCACAGAGGCAGACCAAGTGTGACATATTCTGCTACAACCAGAATTTGGGCTAGCAAATGTTCCAGTTACAAAAGTAAGATTTTTGGAGCAGAACAGGGACCTCACCTACCCCATTTCAGCAGCTTCTGGTATGGCATCCAAGACCTATCATGGCATAATCTTGTATGCCTGTAGGCCTCTGGCATGGCAAGGGGGCAGTGAGATCACTGACTGCATCTTGCCAAAGGCCTCTATGCTTGTGAGGAAAGGCCTACTGTAGCCTGAATATGCTACTTCACATGCACAGAAGCATCCAGTCAAGAAGGGTCAGTGATGCCCTTGACGCCTTGCTATATCATAGACTTCAGAGAATGCACAGCAATGCTCAGCTTCACCTGCACGCATAACCAGGCTACATTAGGCCTCTCTGCAGATGCCCAGAGGGCATTCCAAACTCCACAATCTTCTCTAGAGTTTGGGCAGAGCAGAAGTAACACATGCCTTGCCCTGCTAAAACTTTCTGAAGGTACATAAGGTACTCTTTAATGTCCTGGAGTCCTAGACCATTGTTACTAATCTCAACGTCTAGTGTCTCTGCTTTCACTGCCTTCCATCAGGATGAGATTAGATGATAAATGTGGACAAACATATTGGCAGCTTAAAGAAGCAGGGATCAGCCTTCTGGTCAACGCCAGTTGCTAGAGCTCCCCTCTAGAGCTCTTCTGTGAGTAATCTATTAATACCCACAGAAGCTGCTAACACAATTTCTAAGTCAGCCTGGCAAATAGCTGTCCACATTTCCTTATTGCAGTGTCAGCAATGGCAAACAGGAAAAAAGAGCCCCCAAAGAGCACATCATCCTCTTGTTGGATTTTTAAAAATACCACTATTGAACCACCTATTATTATAGTAGAAGTAGTGTACTGGGGGGGGGGGGTTGAGTGAAACATAGTTGTGAACTTTGCATGGAGTATCATTGTTGGAAGCTGCCCAGAGTGGTTGGGGAGGCCTGGCCAGATGAGCGGGGTATAAGTAATAAATTATTATTATATTATTATCATTATTGCACACCTTGGAAGTTCTTTGGTGGGGGCGGGGCAAGGCAACCCAGTATCAGAGATGGGGGTGCAAGCTTTCCTATGGCATCGTTCCCAAGTGGGACAGCATTTCACTTCTTCTAGTTAGAACCTTTCATTTATGCAAGAAAAATGAAACGGTTGCACTAAAGGGTGCCACTGAGGAGAGCCTAAATTTGCATGTACACAGGCAGATGCAGGCACCCAGGCACGCACACACGCGTGCACACACACACACAGACAGCTGTCTCTTCATTTCCATAGCACCATTATAGTTTGCATCTTGTGATGGAATGTTGGGAGGGTGGAATGGAATGTTTGAAACTCGCTTATAGAGGAGGAGGAAAGACAATGCATTTTGGTTGATGAGTAATCTTCACTGCCCTACAAGATCTTCTCCAAGAGGGCAGAGTTTATCCCAGACTGGTAGCATTAGCCAATGCTCTTCTGATCCAAAGTTCTACCCATGAACCTCACCCCATCCACCCCAGCCAAAATAGAAAGGGAAACTTACTTCTTCACTGGTTTGGGAGAAAGAAATAGACACAAGCAGAAAGCAGGGAAGGAAAAACAGATGGTTAGTTTCAAGAATAAAAAGACAGATTCTATGATCCAAAAGACTGAGCATGGAGCAATTGGGGCAATAGTGGGCGAAGCATTTTTGCAAATGTAAAAATCCCACCCTTCTATTGTTTGGCAGGGAAGGAAGAGGAAAGAGAAGCCAGATAACCAGAAGAATTGTAACTTTTTGAAAGAGCTCTTTGCACACAGCTCCAGCCTCTGGGTGGCATGGGGACTGCCCAGTGTACACGATCTATATGGATGTACATCTCTCCGCCCAGCTGGAGATATGCATAGAGAAGCCGATGCAGCAAATGCGCTAGACAGATGGGAGTGCAGAAAGGTATTACTTCTTGTTGATGGGATTGAAAGAAAAATTGTAGCTCTAGAATTGTGTTTTTAAAAATGTGACCCACAAAATATACACAACAGTAACTTACTCAGACATCTTGGTTTTGTTGATGAGCACCTGCAACAAACCAAAGGCATATATATATTTAATACAAGTGTATTGTTTGGATTAAACAACATTGGTCACTACTAGAAAATAAAAATTGGTTTGTACTTATTGCCCAACTGCTCCCCATCTGCTGAGTGAGGAAGTAGTTGCCAAATTTATGGAAGGCTGCCAAATACATTCTCTCCCCCCCCCATATAATTTTTATTAATTTTTCCTTTTATAACACAACAAATCCAACCTAACAATAACAAACAAATATACTCTTTGCTCAGTCGCAATGGGAAAAACCTATCTATAGCAAGCCTTCCAGAAAACTTGCAAGTTTTAACTCTTGTAGAAACAATGTGTGTTGAAACCTCTGCAATAAACTCATATTACAGCCCGTTTGAGGAGACAAAGCATGCTTTGCTACTTAGTCAATAGCTTACATTTTATTGCAATGATTCTTATCAGTACATGTATGCATTCTACTGGCTGTCATAATGGTGGTAACCAAAGAAGTACACAGCTACACATTTACAAATTTGCTTCCATTTCAGCAGCTTCACAGGAACAAGTTGCATTAAACTTTAAGATTTCCCTGTATTTTTGTATTGTTTCAAATTGATTATTTAAAAGGTATGTGCCTCGCCTGTCCGTCCCCCCTCTGCCCACCAGTGTGTGAACTAACTACTTTGCTATCTTTGGATCGCAAATGGATGGCCATTATACTCAGAATGAGACAAGGAAGAGTTAAAAGATGGCCAGAAAGGACACCCCCGAAGGCCATGGCTGACCTCCCGAAAGAAACCTTATCCTGAAAAATGTGTAGGGCCTATCACATAATGGAGAAGAAAGTGCTTCTAAAAATGGCTTGCAAAGGAGCTGCAGCTGTCTTCTTGGGTTGTGGCCTGCCTTTCCCAGTGACTCAGGAGGGCCAATAAGGGGTGTCACTGTGGTAACCACAGGTGGCAAAGGTGCAAATGACAGTGGGCGTGACATATACTAGAAACAAAACAAAATGCAAATAAGGAACAAGAGAGGGAAATCACGCCAATCATCAAAATAGATGTTTGTGTAATTTGAAGTTTTGTATCCTTTCCGTATTTTCTACAGTATATCCCAACTTGTCAGTTGCCTTTTTTGCAGAAATGTCAGCATGCTACTTGTGAAACCAGCGCCACTCAGACTCACTGAAAACAAAGCACTCTATTTTAATCATTTTCTTAGCAGCAAGTGCGAAAAAGGTCACGTGGTCAAGCATTACATCTTCCCCTTTCTTCTTCAACAAGTGGCTTTTCCATCTGCTCCCTACCGCCCCAAAATTGCTTACTGAACAGAGAGCAAGCTTACTCAAATTAGTTATGCTTTTCTTTCCTGAAAGGCAAAATCGTATGCTTTCTTCTTTTTCTTTTTCTGGTTAGGCTTTCTCTACCGAGCAAGTTTTAATGTAGAAACAGGCCATGTTTTCAGCAGGGAGATTTGACTGCATTCTCAAGCTCAGGTTTCGCAGTGCAAATTTACACTGCAGATTCCTTAACATCGTGGGAATTAAATCTGAGGACGGAGTAAATCTGAGCTTTCCAGCTCTTGAATCATGAGAGCCAAAGCCACTTTTATGGAGTGGGACCAGCAACAAAGTCCGATGAAATTGATTGCTGTAACAGGCTAAAGAAAGAAAAGACAGACGGGTTCTCAGAGGACAGACTTTGCCTCCAACACTGGGGTTTAGATCCTTTTCCCCCCAGTCAAGAATCATTAATCTAGGAACCACAGAGTTTCTACTCTTTCTTTCAGCCTCTTCGAACAGCAAGTGGGGGGGGGGTCAATAAGAGACATGCAAAGGGCTCACCTAAGTCCCAAGAAGAAAAACACACAGCGCTGGTGGGAGGACTGGATCAACTGGCAAGCCACGGGCAGCTGGCTTACTGAGGAGGTATAAATGTGTTTCTTAAACAGCTCAGCAAAAAAACCCATTCTCTCTTTAAGGGCATGGAGTCTTCCTTAGACCAATGGTGTGTTAGGGTCCAGAAATACAAACCACCCCCCTCGGCTAAAGCAATCAATTTGGGAAGCAGTCAAGAAGTCTTGGAGAAGTCAGGCAGCAGGGAGAATAACAGAAGAGGAAGTGTATTTTGCAGAGTGTCGGGAGCAGAGTCATATATTTTACATGGTAAACAGGTGAAATGAATGCAGTGAAAGACACATATGAAAAATATACATATACACATGCTCAGAACTTCAGTTAATTTTTAACATAGACAACATTTACAGGGTCCACCCTAATTTTCTTGTGCACCCAATACTACCTTATTGATCTTTTTGTAGTTATACCACACCTTTTCTCCAAGGACACATTGGATTCTCCTATTATACCCTTACAACAACCCTATGAGGTAGGCTAGGTGAAGTGATAATAATCTATATAGTGTGTTCAAAGTGCTTCATACATAGTAATCCAGAAGGCAAGGTAAAGTAAATGTCGGCAGTTCATGATGGGGAGTGGGGGGGAGCTGTGGTTCAGAAACAGTAGCTTGTCTAACGCCGCCTAGCAAATTCATTGCAGAAGCAGAATTTGAACATGGGACTTCCTGATTCACAGCTCAGTTTTGTTGCCACTGTGCAACTGAACAAATTGCCTGAGGCTACTCAGCAAATTTCTCAACCAAGCAGGAATTTGAAGCAAACTTTTTACATAAGGACTAGTCCAATACATTTTGCAGCATGAAGCAAAGGTCCTCCCTACTGGCCCCATTTCACATGCAGAAGCTGACTGAACTTACAGTTGAATTTTACTTCAGAAATTGCACTGGGCCATCAACCTCCACCACACCTGAGGGAAGCAGGCAGCACACAGAGCCTCACCACAACTCCCTATTTGCTGCCTCCAAATCTGTTGCCACCATGGCCACCTCACTCTGTCTAAGACAGTGGTGGCCAGACTTGGCCCTCCAGCTGTTTGGGGACTACAATTCCCATCATCTCTGACCACTGGTCCTGTTAGCTAGGGATGATGGGAGCTGTAGTCCCAAAACAGCTGGAGGGCCAAGTTTGGCCACCACTGGCTAAGAGAAGGGCCAGCATCCTACAGCCCAAATCCACCACTTTCCCACCGTACCACAGACTCTCATTGGGTATCGTTTAAGAAGTCAATACCGAGGAAATAATCACATTCATCAGCTGCAGCTTTAAGCTGCACGGTCCATGAAAACTGGCTTTTCAAGTTTATATCCAAGGAAGATGGATTTTAAGGCTTCTCAGTAGTTTGGTGGATTTCGGATGTTCTCTTCCCTCCTGCTCCTCCTCTCCTTTTTCAATGCTTCCCGCAGACTCAATACATCCACGTTTGACACGCTGTGCAGGTACAGATCTTAAGTTCAAAGAGATACTAAAGAAGGATTACAGCACCCAAGGCAATACTGCGGTATAAATTCTCCTCACAGCTTCCAGCAAATCTCATTCCCCTGACAGCAGCAAGCAGGGCTAGTATAGCACTGGAATGCTGATCCTTAAAGGTGCTGAATGGCTAATATGATGATGATGATGAAGAAGAATAAGAAGCCCAAACCTGCCTTTTTGGTATGATAGCCTCTCTTCCCACAGGGTCCTCTTGGGCTACCTAGGACAGACAGAAATAAGTACAAGAGCCCCAAAATACATGCTATTTCTAAATGTAAGCAATGGGTTTGCCATGTATTGATCATAGAGATAATTATGTACAAAAACTGGGTTGGTTGCATTATCTAGACATCACACAGGAAGATAGTTTGCTGCTAATTATAAATGTGACATTAATCAGGGCAATTTGTATAGAAATAACCCCAAGTGCAGAAGGAAGTTTCTCCATGTGCTGTAGAGGGGAGTGAGAGGCAGACAGGGCTCATCAACCTGGGAAGGGAACCCGTCTAGAAGGAAAGCACTTATTCTAAGCCTCTGCTGCATTGTGGGATATCTTGGGGAGAAGAAAAGGCTAAGGAGTAAACCCTACACAAACCCTAAGTAAAGTACAGAGTGCTTTTGGACTACAACTCTCATCATCCTTAGCTAGCAGGACCAGTGGTCAGAGATGATGGGGATTGTAGTCCACTGATAGAAGGCACTCCCTGCTACAGAGTGGGGGAGGGCAGACCTTTGAACCTCCAGATGTTGCTGAACTACAACTCCCATCATCCCTACCTAGTGGGGCTAATGGGAGTTGTAGTCCAACATTTTGAGGGCCACAAGATAGCCAGTCCTGCACAGAACTCTGGAATAAATCAGGAGCCTGAAATTCAACTTCATGTTTTGAATCCAGGCTGCTACAAGTCCACTTTCACATTTGATTCTGGCATAAAATGTCCGCTCTGATTCAGCTGGATTATAAAAGCAAACGCAATGCCATCTCAAGCCTCCCTGTTAATCAGTAACCACCCTGCTAGCTGCAAACAGTCAGAAAGCACTACAGCTCTGACTTCCTGTTCTGGCACCTGGGCAACTCAGGAAGGGCTGCCTGCACTGTCATAGAGAGATTGCAGTGCCAGAGAAGGGAGAACAACTCGTCTTAGTAATGAATGCGCTCTGGCATAGCCTGGTGAGAAAAGCGTGTGTCACATGGGCACGATCAAGGTGGAATCGGACTTCATTTTATTAACCTCAAGTGTCCAGCTTTCATATCGCCCGTCTTGCCCGTCTTGCTTTGGAATACAGCTTCCTTCTGCCACCTGCTGGTAGAAGCACAGTCAAAGCAACATTCAAAAGCTAAAATGCAGCAAGTCAATTGCAACAGAGCCTTGCTGAAAGTAACAGGACAGGGCTAAACCGAACAACTACCGTATTTTTCGCTCATAAAGATGCACCTAGTTTTTAGAGGAGGAAAACAAGAAACAAGAAAGTAACACAAAGCCTCTTGAGCGAAGAGGCAGGAGTGCTCTGGCTGCGCTCAGGAGGCTTTGCGTTGCTTTCGCTGAAGCCAGAAGACCAAGAGGGATCAGCACGCACCGATCCCTCTTGCTCTTCTGGCTTCAGCAATAGCTGTGCAGCCTGCATTTGCTCCATAAGACGCACACACATTTCCCCTTCCTTTTTAGGAGGGGGAAAGTGCGTCTTATAGAGCGAAAAATACGGTAACTTATTGCAGTAGGGCTGGGGCTGCAATACCTAGAGTGTGAGACACTTTTAATTTCATAGAATCACTTATGAAACTTCTGGGTAGCACAAAAACCACAAAACTGAAAGGGCTGTCCTCATAGAGAGAAAGAATGCTCACAGGACTTTACACAAAGATCAGCTATCATATAGAGTCAGTTAGAATAAGAAAAAGGGCTATAAATCTCCTGACCCTACCGAAGAGCTCAAAATGCATAGGGCTCTTGATTCCTGAATGCTGGCAGCCCCTGTGAGTTTTCTGAGTCAGACTGTATGTGCATCAAGGATATGCCTATACTTCTCTGCCTATACTTTTCAGTTGGGTAGTCTCAATCAGACACCTCTTAAATACATCTCTATTAATGCCAGGTCTACATAGGGTCACAATGTTGTTTATTTAACATAATTTCTCATATTATAGAAACACTACTCACATATGACACATTTGAAGCCAAACTTCAATCAGAACGCTTTATAAAGGATTAAGTATTCTAGTGTCAATTTTATCACTGGGATAAGTTTGCAGCATGCTGGACTGCTTTGAACCACAAACTGGTAGAACTGATAATAATGTCATTTCTGTCTTATATTATTATTATTATTATTATTATTATTATTATTATTATTATTATTTATTAATTTGTACCCTGCCCATCTGGCTGGGTTGCCCCAGCCACTCTAGGCAGCTTCCAGCATATATAAAAACACAGTAAAACATTAAACCTTAAAAAGCTTCCCTACACAGGGCTGCCTTCAGATTATATAAATGTTATATAATTACTTATTCCACAGGGCGGGTTCCACTACCAAGAAGGCCCTCTGCCCTGTAGCTTTACTTCTCGCAGGGAGGGAAGCGCCAGAAGGCCCTCAGCGCTGGACTTCAGTGTCCAGGCTGAACGATGGGGGTGGAGATGCTCCTTCAGGTATACTGGGCTGAGGCCATTTAGGGATTTAAAGGTCAGCACCAACACTTTGAATTGTGCTCAGAAACGTACTGGGAGCCAATGTAGGTCTTTCAGGACCGGTATTTTATGGTCTCGGTGGCTGCTCCCAGTCACCAGTCTAGCATCCCCATTCTGGATTAATTGTAGTTTCTGAGTAACCTTCAAAGGTAGCTCCACACAGACTACATTGCAGTTGTCCAAGCAGGAGATAACCAGTGCATATACCACTCTGGTGAGACAGTGTGTAGGCAGGTAGGTTCTCAGCTGGCGTACCAGGTGGAGCTGGTAAACAGCTGCCCTGAACACAGAATTGACCTGCTCCTCCATGGACAGCTGTGAGTCCAAAATGAGTCCCAGGCTGTGCAGCTAGTCCTTCAGGGGCACGGTTAACCCATTCAGGACAACGGAGTCCCCCACACCTGCCTATGTTGAATGGTTTCTTTAAATATAAAGGTTCATCATTGTTCCACTCGATGTGTATGTCTTTAAGGGGCCAGAGCAAGGGCCAGAGCAAGATAAGGAGACCCAGCTTTACAGCTGTGAAACATAGCAGGTGCTGCTGAGTTGTATTTGATTAAGGTGTGTCAGCATCTGGGTGTAGTATATAAGGAGCAGCACCTAGCTCTCCCATTACCCTGGGGGTTGGTGGTTGGGTCATGTTTGTTTGTTGATGTATTTAGTGTAAATGGAGTTTTTGTTTTTGTTATTAAAACCTTGTTTAAGTTATTTTTGAGTCCCTTTTTAATGCATGGTCTCCCCAGCAAGCTCTCTGCAGCGCTACCAAACTGCAAACAGCCAACAGCCTGCCCCATCTGCCAGAAACAATATTTCTGCCTTCAATCCATTAGCTGCCATCCATCCTCCAACAGCCTCCAGACACTCACAAAGGACATTCACCGCCTTCACTGCTTCTGATTTAAATGAGAGGTAGAGCACAGCAGGTCTGGTTTGCTCCTCCAGCACCTTGAATATTGGCCAAGCTACCTGGAGGGGAGGTGCAAAACTACCATAATGTTCTGAGCCACATTTTGTATTGGATTTTTAAAAGGGGGTGCATGTGACCTGGGTAATGCTCAGGGTGGGGATGGTAGAGCAAAGGAAGGATTCTGTTTTCACTGCTGCTCAGGATGCTGAAACAGAGTTGGAGGAACCATAGGAACTCCCATGTTTTCTTGCTGCCTGTTGTGCTTGTTGTGTTAGAATTCCTCAAGGCTACTGACTGGTAGAGTCAACGCATTCATAGCATTTTACAGGTGCAACAGATAAGGATCAAGGGCCAGCTCACATCCCAATCACCCCAGTCTGTACAGACATTCCCCCTCCTGCCCATCTGCTTCAGTTTGCTAGGGATGAAACCAGCCAGTGTTCTGCATAAAAATGTTCAAAATCTGCAACCACAGTACAAAATCTGAAAGAACAAGAAAAAAAATACAACCAGAATATATGAAAAAAGAATAAATACCTACTTTATTCAAATCACAGAATCTAGGATTTTAAGCACCAGATTTAAATTCCACTGCTGACAACCCACCTGCTCTCTAATGCCGCATCCATCCCTGATTTAAGAGTCTTTTATGCAAATGTTACAAGCTCTCATCTTGTAGGAGCTGGAAAGTGCTGTCAAGACAATCTCCACTTTGAACGTTCTGCTCCAGTGTTATAATTTCCCTGACAATAAAAGAGGCCTACGGTGGCTCTGCTAAGAAAGGGCTGAATTATCACATTTACAGAGTTATGGAAATAGGCATAGCTGCTGTGGAGAGCCATTTACCTCATCAAATTGGGTAATTTAAAGAGCTTGTTGGTGTATCTCGGCACAAAAGCAAGGATCAGGGATGTATGCAAACTGTAATTTCACAGGAGCATTAAAAAAAAACCCTCCCAAACCACAGAATGTGGTACTAGATGCATAATTTCGTTTCCTAGGAAACTCAGTTTTCACTTTTTAAAAAAGCAATTTTTTTAGTCTTATGGTGATTACCAGTATTTGCTTGAATGTGTCTGGGCAATGCCCTGGTCAACTTCAGAAAGCAGAAGAATTCCAAACTAAGATTTCTAGTGGTGACAGTCCTCTGAATATTTTCAGTCCCCTGAATAGTTCCTTGTTCTTCTCATTACTGGCCAAATCAAGTTTAAAAAAGACACACACACACACACCCTGCAAAGTATTTTTAGAGCAGAGTAAACATAGCCCTGGTCCACAGCTCAGTGACAAAGCAGATACTTGCATACATAAACTTAGTCCTTGGCATCTTCCAATGAAGAAGTTAGATGGGCTGCAAAAGGATCTACTGGGGAAGGATGGTTTAAGGCAGCTCAATATAAGGCAGCTTCTTCATAACAGAAACATTGCAATGGCATCCTTAGGCCTTCTGACTGGCTTTGAGCGCTCGCATGCTTTCTTGCGGTATTTGGTTATTTACTGTATCCTAAGATCCAAAGTAGGCATGGCTGCTGCAGTCCCATGTGCTGAAACCAGGAACTTGCAGTAGAACAAGAGTGGTAAACCCATGGGCCAAATCAGGCCTGCTAAGCCCTTTCAAGTGGTTGCTTTCCTCCCCCAGTGCAATGCTGCAAGGGGGAGGAAAACCACTGCCTATGGTCTTCAGAGGTTGGGCCCTTTGTAGGAGAGACAGCAATAGCCCTCAACACTGCAGCACTGAACGTGGTGGAGAGATTTAAATCTCCCTGGGGAAGTTCAGCACTGTGACGGGGATGTGTAGCGTGTGTGGCTGTGTACGTGGAAGAAAAGGTGTGAAAGAACTGAGAAAGGGTAAGAAACAGTGGGCCCAGATGATCATGCCCACTTTGGAGAAGGCTAGCCAAGAGCAAATGCAGCGAAAAAAGTTGAGCCATCCCTGCTGTGGAAAAAGGAGGGGGGTGAAGAGAGTGTGTACAATGCAAGAACTGCTCCCTCTCCTAGATACTGGGAAGGTGCTGGGAGAGAAGGGACAGGCAAGGGGAGAAGCTTCAGTCACCATGAACCACATTCCTCCCCACCTTCCTACATGTGTGAGATGAAACTGCTGCCATCTAGCCTGACCCTATGTCCATGCCATCTTCCTTGACATGGCTTGTTTAGAGCACTCCATGTCCACCTCTCCAGGCCACAGAGACCTCTCTAGGTCCACCAGCAGGTCTTGGTGACACTCCTGGATGTTCACTGGGTACCTTGCTCTGACAAAGTCATAAGCAGCCAGCAGCCTCATGTGGTGTTTGACCATCAGGTACTGGATGACGCAGGTAGGAGCCAGGGAGTAGCCATCCCTGCAGTGAATCAGAACCCGCTTCCTTTTCTCCAGCGAGGCCTCAAGGCACCGGTTGATGTCCCAGAAGCACGGCTGCTGCAGAGAAAGGCGCTCCTCCTCCAAAGGCCCCTGGACGTGCACCTTCAGGCGGGACCAGCTATGCTGGGGCCCTCGGCTGCAGGTGCAAGGGATGAAGCTCAGCCTGCAGTCCCTGGGCAAGCTGCTCACATCAATGATGCTGTCAATCTGGTTCTTGCACAGCGCCTGCCCACTGTAAGCCGCACGGAGGTTCCCCACGTAGATGAAGTCCGTTACCCTGGCGATGACCGGTTCCAAGAAACCGAAGCCTGCCTGCAGCTCCCTTGGCTTTGGGTCACTGGCCTCCCTGGATTTGAGACTCCCATTGCGGCGCTTCTTGGAGCTAGAAACAGACGACGGATTGGGACTGAATTCAAAGCTGCCCTTTGGCAGCAACGGAAAAAACAAAGAGTTGGAAGACTTGGGCTTGGATGGAGATCCCGTTGGCTTGGAGGGGATGGATTTGGACGAGGAACTGGGTACAGAGGCACAAAACAAGGATGCCCGTTCCAGGGAACCAGTGCTGCTGGCTGCCCCACCACTGTGGGCTTGTTTCATCTATTTGAAAAAGAGGAGAAAGGTATCAGTTAAGTTCCTGCTACTAGATTCACAAACTGATGCAGCCGCATGACAGACAACAAACTGTGTATTGCCCAACAAATCTCTCAGCGCAGACACACTTAGATAATTACTCACCTGAGTATCAAGGTTCTCCAGAGAGACCATGCCACTGTATTGCCTGGCATTGTCTGATGAGAGGGATAAGCAGAGTGTCTGGTGAGTCTTCATGGGTGACCGAGGCCTTGATGAAGCTTCTCTGTGGACTATCTTTTGTTCCGGCACTTCATTCCTGCTCATTATCAAGTCTGGGCAAGAACCTGCAAGAACAGGATGGTTCCCCCCCAAGAACAGATGCTCATGAAATAGCTCCCCTTTGCACAGATCTACAACGTATCATGAATGCTAATGAATTGTGCCTCTGGGAAGAGGCAATTCCTTTCACGCAACTCCCACTGCCATTGCTTTTAGATTATATTTTGCCATGAGCACACACAAGGCTTTAAGCAGAGCCTTTCACTGGAAGGTAGCTGTCACATCCGTTTCTATAAGCATTCCCTCTGTCTCAGCATATAAACATAAAATATGCTAATAGACCACTAACGAAAACAAATTAAAATGATTCATCTACTCCTTAAAATGTGTGAGCTGTATCCTTTGTATGTTCTATTTACAGTACAGCAGCCGAACTTAGTGGAGTTTAGCGAGCCATGTCCATTAATTTCAATGGGCCCATTCTGAGTAGGACTAACAATCCTGTGTGCTTTGAATCAGCCTGATATTTAAGCACTAGCCTGGCAGTCATAGGTGATCAGGAATTCCATTCAGGTGAGTAAGCAAGCTGGCAGAAAGATGGAGCACTCCATTGCTCCACTACAACCAGAACAGAACCCAGGCTGGCTGCTGGAAGAAGAGGGAAGCTCCCCTCCTCTGTACCCAGCATAGAAGTGCAGCAAGCTGCTATAGGAGAGACAGAGCTCTTTGTCATCCTCTGCAAGCTGGCAGGTTTGCTTGCAGGCTAGTAACTTTTGTGGGCTTATTTGCAAGGCTGGTTTAAACGCACATTGCCTGTGCCTTCAGCAAGGAGCATGCAGTTAATAACTGTATGATGTGCCACTTGCCTTCCAGAGGCAACATGGAAAAAGAACCACCACTGTGTGTTGTTAACACGGGTGACAGTTATTAGAGGCTCTAGGCCTTAACTTGTTTATACATTAAAATTAATTAGTAAATAGCAGTATCTGTTCATACTGAAAGCCCGAGAATACCTTGATCCTACAAATGAGCGTAGCTGTGACGGAGGACAAAATGGCTTATGCCAAAGCAACTCCTGCAGCACCCAAAGCTTTTCCCAGTAGCACAAATCCATCCTGCTAGGCTGCTAATCCATTGCAATCCAGTTACAAAAATCCACAGCCAAACATGCACAGTTAGGCTACGTATTCTGTGCTTCAAATCAAGCAATTTGTTGTTAATTTGGAAGATGCTCTTTTCTACATGCTTATACAACAGAGATTATTCCAGGTAAAGCAGCACTTATATTATAAGATTGATACTTTGAGTGAAATCTGTTGCAGAAAAACAGGAAATAAATGAAGTAAATAGGGTTGAGTCCAATTGTGCTCTTCCACTGCTTGCAGAAAGGCTTTTGATCCAGCAGACGCTTCAACTAAGAGCAGGTGGGAAAGAAGCAATTCTCACCAATCCTTCCTGCAGTCCTTGAAAAATCTGTTTTTTAAAAAATATTTTATTAAGTTTTCTTTCCAACAGTTAGAAATTTACAGAATGAAGAATAAAGAATAAAGATAAAGAGAAAAAGAGGTACATAAAAACCAACTTTCCAAATTATTTTTGCCAGTCCTTGAAAAATCTGGACCCTCCAGAACAACATGGAAGGTGGCAGGGGTTAGAAACGGGGAATCCACAAAAATCACCTTCACCTTTCACTAGTCTGCTGAATCAAAAGCCCAAGGAGAAAGCCACAAGGGGATTCAACCCATAACAACAAATTATAGCTGCTGAACATGCACAGGCTACCATCTTTCCTCCCAGTAAGAATCCAGTGTTTTGCTGTGTGGCCAGCATCTCTCCATCAAAGACAATAGCTACTTTTGCCCTATTCATTGGATTCTGCACTAAGAGCTGTGAACAAATTCTGTACCCTGAGAAAGTATATGTGTCCAACCTGTCTCATTCATGCAAAGTATAAAGATGTGCCTATATTTCCTTGATGTGCATGATTTGTTCTCACAGTCACAACAAATGGTGTCACCATCGTTCAAATGTTCCAATTCTTTCTTACCGTCCAGATGCAGTTTCAGTATTCGGTCCACAGGCGCAGAATACAAAAACAGATAGTATATTGGAATGCGCAGCATGCTTCACCTACCTGTACAGTGTTGGGAAAGTGCCACGGGGGAAGACAGGTGCAAGGCCTTCCAAAGGTGCTTTGTAAGCAAGCCTGGAAATTGAGAGAAAAATGCATGTTAGCAAGGAATGGCTTATCAGATAACATCAAAAGCAAAAATAAAAGCACATGTTAAAGCTGATGCATGCAACATGCGAGCTGCCACCCCCCCCCATCCACTGCAATGCTTATGGTTGACAGTACTATTACCATTTAGCACATATTGAAGCACCTAAAAAATCTAAGAGCTTTGCAAATGAGTCCTATGTCTGCTGTGCAAGGGACATTTCGCCACAGCAATGTAGTGGCCATGGTGTTGCATTAATGCAGCAAAACACTTGGGATGTTGCACCAGGGAAGGTATTCCAGAGACTGCACTGTGAGACACTCCTTCAGGTGTCTCCTCCTTGAGAGGTCCGGATGGTGGCAACACGAGAACGGGCCTTCTCTGCAGTGGCTCCCCATCTGTGGAATGCCCTCTCCAGGAAAGTTCGCCTGGGGCCTTCATTATACACCTTTAGGTGCCAGGCAAAAAAGTTTATTTTTAACCAAACCTTTGGCTGACCTAATCAACATCCTATACCATTTAAAATGTGGCTCTTTTGGGGGGGGCGTGTTACTGGATTATTGTTTTTATTTTTATTTTATATATTGTGATTTTTTTTGTGAACCGCCCTGAGACCTCCGGGTATAGGGTGGTATATAAATTCAATAAATGAAATGGAATGGAATACTTTGCACAAGGCAGAGCCTCTGTAAGAGGGTTGATACAATAATAATAATAATAATAATAATAATAATAATAATAAATTTATTTATATCCCGCCCTCCCCAGCCGAAGCCGGGCTCAGGGCGGCTAACAACACTAAAACAATGCAACATTATAAAAACATTATAAAAATTAACTAAAATACAAATTGATGGCAACCATAAACTAAAGTTTTGTAAAGATTGCCAGAGGAGGGAGTCAGGCTGCGCCCTGACCAAAGGCCTGGTGGAACAGCTCTGTCTTGCAGGCCCTGCGGAAAGATGTCAAGTCCCGCAGGGCCCTGGTCTCTTGTGACAGAGTGTTCCACCAGATCGGAGCCACAGCCGAAAAAGCCCTGGCTCTAGTTGAGGCCAGCCTAACTTCTCTGTGGCCTGGGACCTTCAAGATGTTTTTATTTGAAGACCGTAAGTTCCTCTGTGGGGCATACCAGGAGAGGCAGTCCCATAGGTACGAGGGTCCTAGGCCGTATAGGGCTTTGAAGGTTAAAACCAGCACCTTAAACCTGATCCTGTACTCCACCGGGAGCCAGTGCAGCTGGTATAGCACCGGATGAATGTGATAAGCACAAGACTTTCCATGTTGACATGAGCAGAGATTGCCTAAAATGGCACTTATGCATTGTATCAACCACAGAGGATCAACTCAAAACATTTAGAGCAAGAGTCAAGGTTCATAGTCCGAACAACTCCCCAGTACAATGGACAGGCATATAATGATGCTACAAAGATGTGGAAGCTTTGGTTCTACAAACTGGATGGCAGCTCCTATCATCCCTGACTATTGGCCAAAAGGCTGAGGTTGATGGGAGCTGGAGTCCAACAACACAAGGAGGGGCACAGTTTCCCTATCCAGGGCACACACAACAACAGAGGTCAGTGAGATGCTTCCAGGAAGTCTACAAGTGGGGCATGATGTGGGAAGCATCCAATGAACTCAGAGAAGAAGGCTCCAGATTCAATCCTTGGTAGGATCTCAGCCCAAGGAAGACCTCCACCTGAGACCCTAGAGAGCCACTGCCATTCATAGGAGAAAACAGTGAGCTACACATGAGACATATGAAGCTGATTTCAGTGGAGTCAGACCATTGGTTGAAACTGTCTCCACTGACTGGCAGTACCTCTTCCAGATTCCAGACAAATGTCATTCTCCATCTGACCTAGAGATGCCAGGGATTGAATCTTTGCATGTCAATGCGTTACGGCCTTCCTCTTGGCTCTGTGGACCAGTGACCTTACTTAGTATTAGGATGCTTCATCCTGAAGACCCATGTGTCCATGGCCCTCCATGGGGCAGGGACAGAGAAAGGGAGAACAAGAAATGGACTCACGCAGGGAAACAAGCTATTGCCACAGATCTAGGCAAGCTATCTGAACAATAGGATGCAGACTGGATGTGCTGGTGTGTTTCAGCATGCCTTTGTGCAATAGAAGCCCTTTGAGGGAACCTTTAGAACTGGGTCTGTCTCTCTTCTCTTACTTACCCGTAATCCCACTTTTCCTAGAATCTGGTCCTTTGTTCATCATTATGCTTGCCGTTGACTCCATGGCATCCAAATCTGAAATATGGAAGAACAGATAGGCTCTAGACTCTAAACCCGCAGCAGGACAGCTCAGATTTACAGCAGGGCATAGATGATCTAGCCTACTGGGAGAAGACCAATAGGTAGAATGGCACGTTCATATGCAAAATCCTTTGAAGGGTGGTAATGAAACCATTCAAGTGCGCATGCTGAACAGAAGCAAGCTTGCATGCTCCAGAGGTGTCAAATCAAATCTGAATGGAAAACTGGACCAAATTGTTATTCTTACCAAAATTAGAAGAGAGTAAGTAATCGATTACAGTGGCACCTCGAGTTACAAACACCTCAGGTTACAAATGCTTCAGGTTACAAACTCCACTAACCTGGAAGAGTTACCATGAGTTGACAACTTTGCCCCAGGATGAGAACAGAAATCGTGTGCCAGCAGCACAGCGGCAGCAAGAGGCCCCATTAGCAAAAGCACGCCTCTAGTTAAGAACAGTTTCAGGTTAAGAACGGACCTCCGGAACAAATTAAGTTCGTAACTAGAGGTACCACTGTATTTGAAACTCACTGCTGAACTTGTAGAACTTTTTTAAAAAAAAATCAGGTTGCAGATTCAGAATAAGAACTCAAGTAGAAACCATAAACAGGTTGGTCCCCAACTGAAATGAAGAAAGCAGCAAGTTGCTTGTTAGAGTTCTAAAGTTTCTCATCTTGTGAAAACATTCCAAAGTATATATCCATATACTGTATGAGCAGTAAGATCATATAGGCACGAGAAAGCATTATATACCTTATGCCTGGGGAAAGTCACAATGAAGGGAAACTGTGGCATAATTGAAATATTCAGGGGAGCTGTCTGATTATTAAAAGTAGCTTTAAGTGCTTGCAAGAGGAAGGTCTCATGCATGGAAAACGACGAAGTTGTTTGTGAGCTGTAGCTCCTTTGGAGTTCTTGAATAATTATTCCATAATTTTAATAATTTAAATCTCTAACATCACTTGTAGACAAAGCTGTAACTCTGGCTGTGGAGAGTCCCCATCAGTTCAGGGTGCAGCTGTAGCTGCCTTCTAAGAGCCAGCCTGAAAACATGTTGCTCCAAAGCATTAGAAAGAGGAACTCTTGACAGCACAGAAGTGGATGTTGTGTAGGCGGGCAAGAGAATATCATTCAATGATCCAGAATCAATATAATGTCTTCTTTCCCGAGTTATCTCCCCTGCCCCCTATGCTCCAGCTTTCATTACACAATGTCGGCTTCTCTGTCTTGTATATTTAACCACCATCCGGCATGATGTTATAAATGTTCCACATTGAGATTAATCACCCCACATCAAATGCGCAAACTGGCACTGTGTTGTAAATGATGTTTACACATTCCCACACAAACCGGAACACATTGGGAGGCAATCTCCGATTACTTGATATTGGCACACATGCAGGACGAAAGGTCACCGCTTGCTTGAGACCACCCCACTTGACCCTTGGGGATGGGCTACCCACATCTTGGTCTCATCCAGAAGACAAGAGCATAAAAAGAATGCTAATGGATCAGAGCAAGGACCAATCTCCTCCAGCTTCCTATTGGCCACAGTGGCCAACCAGATACCTCCTGGGAGGCAGGATATGAGGGCAATAGTACCCTGGCTACCACGATTGTCCCCCGCCCCCAATTCACCCCCAGCGACTGGTATTCAGAGGCACTGGGGTCTTATAGGAAAAATGGCAACGTTGGTGCCCCAGTCCTTTCCCAGAGCACCACAAAGGAGGAAGTTTACGAGCGCACACAATAAAGCTCACCAAGGGAAAGGAAAGAGAAAGATATAAACTATTCTGAGATATCAGACGTAAAACAAACAAAGCAAAACCAGCAATAAAAGACTCCGGGGTCTCCTGGGGCGGCCAGCTCCCCCTCCCTGACCCCATAGCCCACTTCCGTGGCAGAGGCCACGCTACAAGTTTTGCCCGCCGGGTCCCCAGCGCGCCCCTCTCCGCCCGTCGGGCAGCCCCACATACGCGGAGCCGGGGCTCGCAGCTTCCTTTCTCCGCCTCGACGGGAAGTGGCGCCGCGCTCTGGAGCAGAACTTCGGACTAAAGTTCTGGCTGCGCTTCCAGACGCAGCCCTCGAGGATCGCCCTGCGCTGCACCTGCCAGGAAGGAGCTCCGCGCCCCGAAATCCACGCCGGACTCTCGGCGCTTCCAAGCCATCTCTTGGCGAGGGAAAGAAGGGGGGCCGCGAGGACCGTGCAAGGGCAGGATGGGAAATGTAGTCTGCGAAGCGCAAGCGGGGCGCCTCCGCCTTCCCAGGAACGCCCCTCGCCTGCCCGCGCTGGGCGGCGAACTTGGCCCGCCCCCGTGGTGGTGTCCCGCGTCTGTATCGCTTTCAGCGCGTGCCACGAAGTGCTTGGCAGGCAGATCTTTTCTCTTGCTCAGAGACAAGGCTGTAGTTGGGGGCGTGGGGGGGGAGAGATCATCTCGGAATCATCTGTCGGATCGCTCGTATTTAAATAAATCCAAAGAACACACTGTGCATTTGCAAAGCGTCCTGTGGGTGGATCTTATTGGTTTGTCTCTTGTAACTCTGAGGTGATGAAAAAAAATGCTGTTGTATCAATCTCCTGAGAGCAGATGGGTGTTCGACTAAGATTGACAGTACTGCCTTTAGGTGGTGTATGTGTTTGTGGGGATGGGGATGGGGATTTCCACCCCCTCACTAATTATGGCTCCTGTGAATAGTCACTGTGCTTACTGCACATGTATTTAAACTTTAATTGTATTTTCATCCTGTAATTTTTGCATATCATTGCCATTTGACTCTATCTCCATTTTTTCACACATATATACTGTGTGCACGCACACACACATTTGCCAACTGAGAATAACATGTCATGCATCTGATGCTATTCTCACCAATTGAGAATAATATTTATGCAGCTGGTCCATAAAAACTTTTTCCAGAACAAATTTGTTAGTCTTTAAGATGCTACAGTACTAGCCTTAAGGATTCTTTGGTGGAAAGATAACAGAGTTATAGCCACTCTGACAACCCAGTTGCTGGTGATGTTTCCTAGTTCTGTGTATTGCAGGTAATTAAAGTATTGGGGCCAGATACTCTTACAGTACATATAATTACAACAAAATTGTTAATGTTTTACTGATTTTCACTAGTTGAGTGAAAAGCTTGGGTATCTATATAGCATGGTTAAATAGCCATATAGGCTATTTAGTAGGGCTGTTTACTAGATGAAGGATATTGTTTCTCCCTACATATATGGATTCCAAATAAAGAGCATGCCATTTTTTTTATCAAGGCATATTCGGCCATGGTATCAATCAGAGCAACAAAAGATTGCTATCACATTTGAAAGCTTAATCTCACAACTTTCTGCATGTGGAAATTCTGGATGTTATTCTGTCTTATTGTGTTATAAAATATGTGCATTCATTACATAAAATATGTGCATTCATTACATATAAATGTAAAAGTATGCTTTCTGAGTTGCAGGGAAATGTATTTTTAGAATGATTTATTTGGTACCACATTTATTTTACACAGATAACTGTCCTTCATGGTAAATAGTCTCTGTTACCGCTGTTTTGCATCAAAAGGAAGCCTTGTTGAGTTCAAGGTCTCTAAGTGCGTTTATAGATTTGTAGGCTTAATTCAGCTACTAGCCTTATGCTGCAGTCCCCACTGACCTGGGAATACTTCTAAGTACAGGATTATGCTCTAAAATACACAGGAATCCTGCAGTTCAGTTTGGTGGCCGAGCAAAAACATTCAGTTTGATCCTTGGCCATATTTCAAGGTCGGCTAAACAAGTAGGAGGCAGCATTACAATGATGCAGATCAGTTTCCTCATTCTTCTTCAGGACTCCAGCTGAGAATGGCTAAAAGAAAATATACATAATGGCACTTACCTAGCTTTAGAAGCAGGAGTGTCCGAGACTGATGAACTGGTTTTTATTTTTGCTTCCTTGTTGCTAAAAACTTGCCAGTGTGCAGCTCCTGTTGGAGCTGCTTGAATAAATCAAACAGCCGAGCAGCCCCAGTCATTTATGAAGGGTCTACTCCTCCACAGAGCCAATTGCGATTGGTGGACCACTGCTCATTTTGGGTATCCAAGATACTGCTCTCTATATGATGGCAGACGTCACTGCCTGAGATCCAGAAACAGAAAGTCTTTGCTTGCTTGTTCCACAAATAAGAGGAAGAACCTGTTTTTAACTTGTGGACAATAAACCCTGCAGGGATAGCAAAGAAGTAGTACCAGGGGTAGGAACAAGATAGAGTGGCATAATGCTGAGCTACACTTGACTTCCAAAGAGGTTAGTAGCAGAAAGGAATCAAGATCTTCTCCTAGTTATTGCAGCATTTATTGACACACTTGATAGTAGTGGCAGGTGGCAATTGCAATCCATACATGTCTCTGGCAACGTAAGCGGCAAATGTACCCAGCTGGAACAAAATAATGATATAACATGCTCCTTTGTGTCACACTGAGCATATTTATTCTTTGTTGGCCCCAAACATAATAAATTGAAACCATAAAGATTTGTTTGTCCCTCCCTGCTTGCTTGCTTGCTTGCTTGCTTGCTTTTGTTGCTGAGAATTCACACACAGATCTTGTTTCAGATTCCCATAACTCGCAAATCAATAGTCAATTGTAAATCAATAGTCAATTAGTTTTTGTTACAATTTACTTTTGATTTGCGAGTAGGGACCACTCCCACTATTGAAACTTATATTGGCCAGAGTTCTTGGTGTGCTTTTTTCTTGGCATACTCTAAGGAGCAGGCACACATAACCTGATTATTACAGAAAAGAAAGTACTCCATGCAACTCAACATTAAACTGTGAACTCGCTCCCACAGGAGGCAGTGATGACCACCAACTTGGATGGTTTTAAAAGAGGATTAGACAAATCGTGGAGGAGAGGGCATTCAGTGGCTACTAACCATAATGGCTATGCTTTGCCTCCACAGGCAGAGGCAATAATGCCTCTGGATACCAGTTGCTGGAAACCGCAGGGAAGGAAGAGTGCTCTTGTGCTTGGGACTTTCTTGTGGGTTTCCCTTAAGCATGTGGTTGGCCACTGTGAGAACAGGATGCTGGACTAGATGGGCCATTGGCCTGATCCAGCAGGCTCTTATGTCCTCTGTAAAACCTGTCTAAAATACCTAGCAGCAATGTTGAAAGGAGAATTTATTTGATTCTTTCGATTTAACGTGTCTCTTTTTATTTAGCAAGCTGTTCGTTAGTAGCTATATATATACAGTGGTACCTCGGGTTAAGAACTTAATTCATTCTGGAGGTCTGCTCTTAACCTGAAACTGTTCTTAACCTGAAGCACCACTTTAGCTAATGGGGCCTCCTGCTGCTGCCACGCTGCCAGAGCACGATTTCTGTTCTCATCCTGAAGCAAAGTTCTTAACCCGAGGTTGGTGGAGTCTGTAACCTGAAGCATATGTAACCTGAAGCGTATGTAACACGAGGTACCGCTGTATGTGTGTGTGTGTGTGGGTGGGTGGGTGTGGGTGGGTGTGTTCCCTGAATTTTAAGATTTTTAACATGGGCAATGAGCATTGATTGCAAATATGTTTATAGGCCCAGTGGAAATTCCAGCTCCACACATGTCTGCACATGGCCTTCCGCACATCCTGTTAGTAGCATCGCTTCGTCATGATGAAACAGTGACTTCTGGATTCCATGGTGATGGGTTGTAGAAACATACACACATTTGGATTCCCACTCATCCAAGATAAATATCCTTTAGAGTCTGAGTTCAAGCAAAGAGCGATCAATATTCTCCTTCAGAACACTTTTGACTAAGTGATCATGATGCTACACTGTGATTTTTGCTACCAGCTGCTTCTTTGCAAACTTTTCCTACTAGCCAAGCACATTGGGGTTATCTTCTCCAGTGGAGAGGTTTGTTTTGTTCTTAGCTGTTTGGTAGTGAAAGCTTGAAGCGAGTCTTCAGTCCCAGGGTTTTGTCAACATCTTCCACGGGCTGCAAGCTGTGCCACTGTGCCACAGGCCTGCGAGGATTGGCCAGCATATCCGACCAGTGACGTAGCTGGTTGCCTGTTGCTCGGCAGCTGAGAAACAGCTTCCCAATCTGGTCATCTTTGGACACTTTGTCACGATCCCAGACAGAAATCACCAGGTCCACATTCTGGAAAGAAGACACAAAGCAATGAGATGAGAGGATAGAAAGAAGCAGGGGGCAGTATGGAAGCTTTGAGGAATATGTATTCTTTTCAGGAAGCATATGCCCAGTGTGGAGCTCCAGGTACATTAAAGTAGGTTTAACAATGAGTGGGGAGAGCTTTATCACATTGCAGACACAATGTACCACATATCCTCCTCTTCCCATAAGGTTGCCTCTGTACTGTTATGTTCTCTAGATCAGGGATCAGGAACCTGTAGCCCTCTTATGCCCATCAATTCCAGCCAGTATGGCCAGAGGGACAGTGGGAGTTGTAGTCCAGCAACATCTGGAGGGCCACAGGTTCCCCATGTCAGGAGCTTGTCCTACTCTCGAGTAGGACCCTGGCAGAGACACATGCCTGACTGGCATGTTCTCTCCCTCCTGGTTGATCATTCGGGAGCTCCATAAGCTTTCTTCTGCCCGAACATCACAGCGACCAATGCCAACAGACATCGGCACACTTAGGGATCTGCAGAGTCTTTGCAGCTTGTGTAACAGACCTCAGCAACTCAGCATTTTGGCTAATCTACTTTATTTACACATAAACATACATGGAGCACTGCAACATGGCTCCCTGTCTCTCTAGCATCAGACAGCAAAGAGGGAGAACAAAGGACAATAGTCCCACTTCATGGAACACAGTAACATAAACATCCTGTCTCCATCACGTCCCACTCTGTGGAGTCAAAACATATACTGTCATGTGATAGACAACAATCCCATGACTGCAATCATGGAGCAGAAATTCTAACACCCTACCCCTGCTTTAGATGTTATAGTAGTGGCATGGAATTTATCTATTTGCACTGCCACCATCACATCATCAGTACCAGTTATCACCCAACTGTTCCAGGTCGTTGGACATACCAGTTACCATCCAACTGTCAGCCCCTACCCCAAACAGGAAACAACTGCATCATAAGGACCTGTGCCATGGGCCATGTCCCCATGGTGGTAGGCCTTTAAACTTTGCACCAATGCCATGGGTTGAATCCATGGGAAAGCAGCCCCCAAGATGCTGCAGAAATCATAGAAAGCTGTCTTGCCATTGGTCAGGCCCTTGGTCCACCTAGCTCAGTACGCTGATTG